CACAGATCTGACCTGCCACTACTTACCGTCTCACTGATTTATGCTAATCGAACCGTTGCTCTCTAAACCAAATTCAGTCCACTAAGGACCCGCAGTGTGTGTATGTATAGCTGTTTATCTGTTTGTGCATGTGTCCTCTCACTCACATGCTGTTGAAGAGCTCTCTGTACGTTTCGTCTCCTTTCCCCTCTGACATCAGGCTGTCCAGCTTGTCGATAAGTTTTGCCTCCACCTATTACAAATAATGAAAATATGGCAAATATGGCATTATAAGCGCTACAGTCAGATAGCTGCATGTCCAATTCGTGACCAGAAGGGGGGGCTGTGTGACCTGTTTGAAGTTGCCGCTCCGGCGCTGCTCCCAGTCCATCATGTCGTGAAAGATGGGGATCATCACGTTCCTCAGGTCCGGCTGAGGCACCAGCGTCACCTCCAGGAACGGGCCGATCATCGCTGGGATGAAGTTCAGCTTGTGCTCTCCTGCACGACAAGATGGAAACTTTCATTTCTCATGTAAGAAAGACTCGCGAAGGGGTGAAGCTTTCAGATATTAGTTAACGTCTTACCTAAATTCTGCCACATGCTAAAGATCTCACATCCCATCATGACACGCATGTCTCCGTACCTGAACACAAATGAATGCAAAATACTGTTACAATACGTCCTCCTACGCCAGTTGTTCAAAATATGATTGAGACATTTTTTAAACTGACTTCCTGAAGAATGTAAACTCAAGATGTCCAAAATAGAAATATGTCTTCTTATTATCCATGTTGAAAACACCTAAAAAGATTTTTATTATAAATATATATATATATATTTTCTTCAATATTGATAATAATAAGAATTGTTTTTGAGCAGCAAATTGGTATATTAGAATGATTTCTGAAGGATCATGTGACACTGAAGACTGGAGTAATGATGCTGAAAATTCAGCTTTGAATCACAGGAATAAATTACATTTTAAAATATATTCTGATGGACAAAAGTTAATTTAAACTGAAATAATATTTCACAATATTACGGTTTTAACTGTGTTTTTGATAATAAATATATAAATAAATATTCCAGCCTTGGTGAGTATAAGACTTCTTTCCATAATATAAAACACCTCAATTACTCCAAACGTTTGATCCTCAGTGTATATATAAATTAATTACAAAAAAAAAAAAAACTAAACTAAATACGTAGGAAAAACTAAACCTACACTGAAACTAGAAGAAAAAAAAAAAACTAAAATGGAATAAAACTATTACAAATAAAAACTCAATTAAACATTCTGAACAAAAAAAGTCTTATAATTTCAGACAAACTACTTCATTTGACATACTGCTTTTGGCATACTGTATGTTAATAAAGTTTGAATTCGGCTCACTTTTCCAGTATTTTCTTCCTCTTTGACGCAGAGAAGGTCTCGAGCTGAAGGCAGGGCTGGTTGATGAATATAACAGACAGGCAGAAGTAGGAATCCCACACCTACATGAAAACAGAGAGTTTAGAGGCTGTGCCACAGAGAAAATGAACAGATCGACTGATGTTTCACAACACAACCGGACTGAGAACAAACCTTATAGTCAAACTTGTCATTGAGGAAGTTTTTTCTTAAAGCGTCTGACAGGTAGAGCACCGTGGTGATGATGATGCTGTAAATCAAACATGTCAGATCACAATTCTTACTCTGAAAACCACATCATGTAAAACTGCAGGGGAATAAAGTATCTAACTTGTTAGTGACGAGCCGCATGACCGTCCAGTCTTTGGGAAACATCTCTGGTCGTATCAGGATCCGAAACACAGTGAAGATATGCAGGAGAAAGTCCTGAGAGAGACAGAGAGAAAGAGAGGATGTTTGACATGTTTAACATTGTCTGTATAATGAACTGATGTCAGTGAGATAAAGTGGATGAACGCCTCACCCGCAGCTCGTCTTTACTGGTGAATCTCTTCAGGAGTTGCTGGTAGTGTCTGTCCTTCATATGCCTCAACAGAGCCAAAAGACACGTCACAAACTCGCCCTGAAACACACACATTCAACATATCCCTTACCAAAACGTAGTATACTTCAAGTTTATTTTAGCTAGTATACTTAAGTAAAGTTCAAGTATATTTTTAAGTATACTTTATGTAGTAAGTATACAAATATCAGTGTACTAGTAGTATACTTGTAAGTGTACTATTTCAATACTCCTTGGGACTAAATTGGCCCACTTTCTAGTATATAAAAGTATACTTTAAGTATACTTTAAGTATAACAGTAGTAAACGTTGAGTACACAACTAGTTTACATCAAAATGTTTAGCTTGTACTGCAACTATACTAAAAGTGAACTTATAGGTATACTGATAGTTTACTAATTAAATACTTGTAGTAGCATTTTTAGTACACTTTGAAGTAGTCTTAGTAAACTACTAGTTTAGTAGTTTTATACTGCAAGTATACTCGTAAGTTTTCTTTAAGTGAACTTTACATCATACTTTAAGTATACTACTATGTCCCTATTTAGGTATTAATTTGTATATATTTTGTTACATGAATATCTGAACATACAAAACATCAAAAGAACAGGGTATCTGCTTGTAAACAAAAACATTTTATTCTAGCTTCATGCATTCTTTTTTTAAACACTTGAATGTGGATAAGTTTCATAAATAAAAAATAAAGAAATAAACAACATTTTGAACAAAAAGCTGAAAAAAGACTATGAATTGGATTCAGAATGATAATCAAAACGTAGATAAAGTCGATCAACACCCCAAAGCTTGACAGTCATTATTACCTCTTCATTGGTCGACATTTTATTCCATAACGTTACACAGTTTTGATGCTGTTTTATGTCTGATGATCGTGTTAGAATACATGTGGAAGCATCTGTTGTTTCGGTTTCTTCTTCACTTGTGTTTTTTGGAAATTCTGTACAGAAGATGTGTACTAGCGCCCCCTACAGTATAACACAGTATAACAATGAAAACACAGATTCTAGGAGCACAATTATAGCTAAAATATATTTAGACTTTTTCTAAGTATAAGTCAAGTATACTTAAATGTCATTTTAAGTATATTTCTGAGAAGTACATAAAGCCCATTTCTGAGAAGTACATAAAAAGTAGACTAAACTAAAAATAGGAAAGTATGCTTTTAAAATAAGTATACTAATAGCACACTTGAATAAACTTATTTTTCGTAAGGGATGACACTCTTGGAAAAAAAGAAAAAAAACTCGACGTATTTCTACAGAAGAAACAAATCCACAGTTTGATGTGATTTTGAAAAATGTAACTTTAACTGCATTTTGAAAAAGTCTTTAATAAATGCCCAAATAATGGATAAATGTGAATATTTTTCACTGATTTGAACACTTTCTACTAAACATGCTCTGTATAGCTCCGAGACATTATATTTAATATATAAATGTATATTTAATCGCATTTTGAAAATGTTTTGAATAAATGCACAAATAACAGGTAAAAATGTAATAATTTTGACAAATTTGAACCCTTTCATCTAAACATGCTTGGTATAGCTCTACATAATATTTCATAAATAAATAATTAAAATATTTCAAAAAAATGTAACTATTTTATATAAGGTTAAAATTATATATTAATATATAATTATTTTTTAAGAAGACTTATGCTCACCAAGGCTGCATTTATTTGATCAAAAATACTTTAAAAAATAATATAATATTATATAACAATAATATTAATAATAATAATAATAATATTGTCACATTTTTTCTTCACATTGTTCCTTGATGAATACAAAGTGAATAAATAAAATAAAAATTATAATAAAATGTACTGACTGAAAACTTTTCAACAGCATCTTTTTTAATAAATCTGCAAAAATGTCAACAATTCTGTGTTTTTCTGTCAATATGGGGTGCTGTGTGTACATTAATGAGGAAAAAAAATTAACTTAAATGATTTTAGCAAATGGCTGCAATATAACAAAGAGTGAAAAATCCGTACCCACTGTATGTATTTATATTCAGGTATAGACATTTTTTTAATATATTTTAAAATATTTTCAATATTTAGCAATATTCTACATATATTTCCCCACAGTCAGCACAAAAACATCAAAAGTTAGCAAATTTCACGTACTGTAGGTCTAGCTATACATTGCTCATTTGCAAAACACCTGCCTCAACAAGGGGGAAAAAAAAGTAATCATAGACTATTTCATTCCCATACTGAACAGCCCCATAAAACCCTTGATAAATCTCAGTCTGTGTTGAATACGGATGAATAAATTGGAGTTGAAATGAGGTACGGTGAGGTTTGCATTCACAAAAACCTTCGGGCGCTGGGGAATACGTCACATCTAGCAGCAATGCCGCCAGAATTCAGCTGCTGACTGCTGGGCTGTAATTACCTCGCCCTCAGGGCCTGTTTCTGATGCTTTTACATGTTTCACTTTTTAATATTCACTCTTGCCTTTCTTACCTATTCTCTATAAAGCTTGCTTTCTTATTTGTTTTTCTTACCGTAACGTCTTGAACTTGGGGCCGTAGCGTAGGCCCTGCTGGTTGTGGCCGGTTAGCGATTTCCAATATGGTCCGCAGTAACACACCCAAAACACTCTCCACGATCAGATCCACCTCTTCGGATGCGGCTGGCTCCTGCACACACACACACATATATACATCTGCCCTTGCAAGAGGTCAATGGTGATTTTATGCACACTGTCTGACTGGGCGCTAATGGCAGAAAGGGTGAGACAGCCATGAAAGGTTCAGCTGTCATTTCAGTTTATGCAAGCGCAGGAAGAAGCCAGTGTGGCTGATGTACATCAGTCCTTCTCTGCGTGTGAGACCTGCAATTTGACTTCAAGGTCAGAGAAGATGTCTACATTTAGAGCAGCATCAGCATTTTTTAAGACAAGTTTCCTATGTTCTTCTTTAAAGCAGAAGTCAACACGAATTGGGGATGTGCAAAAACACGAATTCGACAACGCTTCTGGGTTGCATGAATGATAAGTAGGTCTTCAGGAAGCCTTGCATAATTATGAGGATTTAGGGTCACGTTTTGACAAACGTGTTTCATACTCTTAGCAATGGCAGAGTTTTGACCAGTAAATAAGCTAAATAATCTTTTATTGCACAAAACTATCATAACAAATGGAGACCTGTGGATTATGCATAATAACCTGAACATTACTAAAAGCAGGAAATTTAAAGTTTTCATTTGGAATTTGCATTATTTTGTAACAAGCGTCTACAAACTTTCATGACTGTGGTTGCCAGATGTCAACAGTATTAATCCCCGAAATCAGAGCTTTTTATTTAAGTTGATACATTTTCTGAGCAGTGGTTTACTTAATCCTCCCAACCTGGCAACCATGCGCACGCTCTCTCTACATTACATAAAAAGCACTGAAAACACCAAGTTGGAGTATAGGATTGTTTCTCTATTGAGATCAGCTCTGTTTGCTGAGACTAAGTCTGCAAATAAAACAGATTTCTTGTCTAAAGTGTTGTCCTATAGTTGTGTGAGGGTTATCGTACCGTGTCGTTCTTCTTGAGGAGAGACAGCATGCAGGTGAGTATGTGAGCACACATGATGAGATCTCGCTGCTCCTGCATGTGAGCCTGGAGCAAACGCAGCACCACCGGGAGCAGGATACATCTAGACTCTGATAAAAACACACACAAACATTGAGCAGACAGCCTCTTAATGTAGGTATAACCATCTTTATTTTCATCCCCAGTGAGTGTGTGTTTACCAGGGTTTGTGTAGAGCTGGCTCTCTACAGTTTTGGCAATGCAGTGCAGCTTGACGGCCTCCAGGGGGCAGTCGGCCTGGGACGCAGTGGGGAGGCTGCCCAATGTCTCCCGTATAAATGTGGCCACTTCCCTGACCGTAAAGAGCTTCAGCAGCTCCCCGTACACAGCCGGGAACGACTGCAAAAACACTGCCTGTGAAGTCACATGACAAACAATCAGGTCATTCACATGGTGATTACACGGGAAAAAAATATATATATATATATACTGCAAGTTTGCAAATAAAAATTACACTGTCATAAAACTGTTACTATACAGTTTATATATCTCTTGCAGAACAAGCAAAATGTTAATCATTTTAACATAAAAATCGCATGCTATTTTTTATGTAGTACTGTCATGAATAATAACCAAGGAACTTTTTGAATTGGGTGATCGAGCTAAATTGTACTTATTTTGTCTTCTTGGAAACATGTCTTTAATATTTTAAGTAGCTTCTGAAGGTCCTTACAATAAGAAAGAGTTACACATCATCCTATAAAGTTTACATCGCCCAGCATTTAATGCATCTTATTATTATTCAGGACAGTAAAAAAAGGAAACAAAATTAAATGAAATGCATTTTTAGGATCTGTCTTATTTTGTCAAACATTAATTAACATCTTGCATATTCTGCAAGAGGTATGTAAACTCATGAGCAGAGATAAAAAAAAAAAATTTATAAATAAGAAAAATGAAAAATAAATAGCACGTAAATAAATAAATCCACTATATGCAACTATTATATGCAAAACGATGAAAGAACAGTGAAAAAAAAATAACAAACAAGAACTAAACTACAACTACAATGTGACTACAATACAAATATTTTTACCTATAGTAAAACATATTCAAGTAATGTTCAAATGTTCAGAAATTAAACTATAACGTCCGCTAAAGCGGTGAATATCAGCCTTCACATTTCTGCCTCACATACACTGACTGTGACACATGACCATCTTCTCAACCAGAAACAGCAGCAAACTGCTTTTACCACTAACCCACAGCCTTTTCCCACTATGAAGGAATCTCACAAACAAGAAGAACATGGACAGAGGAGAGAAGGGGCCCAAACCCCAACATGTAATCCTGCTGTGAGGGGCCAGCGTGGAGTTTTATTGAGGGACGTGAGGCACGGTGGAGGATTATGGGGGATTAGAACGGCTCTGGCCTGCGTTCTATCACTGCCTTTGTTCTGCTCTCTATGAAGATTAAAACGTCCAAACGGAAATCAGTCTAATACAGGGCTAATGAACCATGTGAGATGATTATACATCGATAGATATACCGCACAATTATACCCTATTGGGAAGTATTAGCCATTCATGCTTAAGACAATCCAACTTGAAGTGTTAAATGACACAAGTCTCAGTCTCAGACCACCGTCTGTCCACTGACCACCTAATGCATACTGCACAGTAACGGCTGAAATCACATGGAAGTTGAAGTCTGCCTGGGATTAAAAGGAGAAATTGTTTAAAATGTACCAGGATTGTTCAATGAGCGCTTCACAAGAAAATCTATCTCTACATCTGCCAAAACTGATGTGGTTAGTGATATCAAACATTTAGAAAATACTAATATATTTAGTCTAAATTAGTATGAGTATACTGAAATATTATAGCAGCTAGTAGAAAGTAAACTAGATATTCATGAGCAGAACTGTAAATTACACTTTGGTTTTTGGTTACATGTGTGAAATAATCAGCACTACAGAACGTCTGCTCACACATTTTACCACCAATTTCTTTGGCAGTAGCGGACTGACACTTCTGATTGTATTTTTTTCTTTTTGTTTTTTTCTTTTTTCACTATCAACCGTTTCAGATAAAACCACCCCTAAATTGTATATACAAATGAAATAAAGTTTGATTGTTAGCTTTAAATATCTGTCAAATAATCTCTTAAAGGGGTGGTTGACTTTTTTATAGGCTTGATTGTGTTTATGGGGTGCAGTCTAACATGTGTTAATGCTTCGTTTGTTAAAAAACGCATTATTTTTCACATAATTTACCTTTATTCCACACCTCTCTGTCCCTTCTCCTCTGAACGCGCTGATCATTTCCTGCTTTTATGAAGCCCCTCCCTCAGAAATACACGATGGGCTCTGATTGATTAGCTAGCCCAGTATGTTGTGATTGGCTAAACCGCCTCTAGCGCGGAGATATTGTTTATGATCAAACAGCAACATTACACACTAACTAAAGTTAAAAAAGTGAAATCTCAATCAACCCCCCCTTTAAATAATCTCAGAAATAACAATAAAATGATCAAATTATCAAAAATAACAAATTTATATCAGCTGAATTTAAATACATTTTATCTTTAATTCAATAGAATACAAACATTACAGTAATACAGTAATAAATATATATATTTTAAATTATTATTTTTATTATTTTTATTAAATTATCATATTATTTATAATTTTATTGAAAATTAGTGGTGGAAGAAATGTATGTACAAACAAAACAAACTTTTTTTTAGCTTTACACGTCTGTCAAATAATCTGTTCCCGTCTAAGTGGGCTGCTCTTGGCCAAAAATAAAAAAGCTGCCAAGTGGACCAGACTTTATTCTGATGTCTGGCTATTTGACACTAAAATGCAACTGATGCACAAATCCATGATCTGGAGACTAAATAAATTAGACGGCTGGATTTGCAACCGAAACGTGCAATACATGTCCCATCACTGATGCTGTGAAACAAAGACTGTTCTGTCTGTTTTTCTCACTTCCCTATTATCTCAAGTCTTCCCTAGTGTTTCTTGTAATCTTGTTGCGCCGTCATTATCTCCCTTTTTTTTTATCTTACTTCATTCTTTTCATCCTTATTAGTCAAGTTCATTTACGATGTTTCTTTCTCTCATTAAAACCCAAAGCAATTCTTTCTTTGGACGTATTCGTCTTTCTCTTTCAGAGGGGGTGCATGGGCACTCTGAAGCTCTTTGTAGAACACGGCAAAACATCAAAACAAACTCACAGCAAGGCTCAAACAAAAGCCAGTGCGACGGGCTGAGTGAAGGAGAATAGAAGACGCTCTTGCATTCAGCTCAGGGAAGTCCGAAACATTTGCTTGAGAGTTTAAATGCTTCGGCTGAATTTAAGAGAGCGCACTGAAAACCGCCTTTATACGACATTCTCTCCATGAAATATAAATGATCCCACCTCTCAAAGGCGAAATATGTGTCAAAATTAAGAGCATTTCTTTGGAAAATAAATGTTTAATACAGCAGATTTGCCTCTCCAATCGTGCCATGGTTTCAGAGGACTCTCTATTGATCAAAATAATGCTCCAAAAGGTAAATTCATCTTTTGTTTATATAAAAGTTACATTTATATAAGTTTATAATAATAATAATAATAATAATAACAATAATGACATTATTATTCTGGGCTATGATGATGATGATGATAATTATTATTATTATTATATTTATTATTGAAACATTTGGGTTAAAATCATAGCCCTGAATTGTAAACCAGAAATAATTATAAGAATATAAAAAAAACTACTTATTAAATGTTATTTTTATTTTATTATTTTAATAAAAATAACAAAAATAGATCTTTTTTTTTAAAATTATTTTTAATTAAATGATCATTATTTTATTCAACTGATTTAAAACTGGTGCTGGAAGAAAAGAATGAGGAATGTTGCAAGCTAAACTCGAACCCATTTCACCCACATGAGCACCACAGCATGTGTTAAATAGAATATAAACAATATAAACAGATCTGTCTGTCTCTCACCTGTGTCTGTGTGATGGGCCGTGAGCCCTTGTTCTCCTGCGAGAGGAAAAAGCGGATGGACATGAAAAGCTCGTGCATACAGCAGCGGAACTCCTCCTCGTTCTGTCCGCCCGTGGCGAGCGCAAACAGCCGCCGCGACTGGATAATATACTTAAAAATATACTCCGTCGCCTAGGAAACCAACAGAATAGCAGATCTGAGCACAAAAAGCAACATAAAAGCAGTCTAATTAAGAATGCATGGGCTGTGTGAACTAATGCGATATGGAAGTCATAACGGCCCGGAGCGAACCATTCCTGAGAAATTGAATTTTCAGTACATTACAATATCAATTGTATTTGTGGCTGCACAAAATCAGAAGATGGAGGACAGCAATGACAGACTCTAAATATCATTATGAAAAGCACAAAATGGGTAAAAACGATGTGAGAGACCGAGAAAGGACGTGTAGTGTGAAGCGTCTCACCTTTAGCACCTGTTGGATGTGTTCCTGACGGTCCGCTTCAATAATGCGGTCCACGTACCACTTCAGCACCTTGATCAGATCCCTGCCAGAGACACAAGCACACAGCACTGTGGAAAACTGAACATTTACATTATGTTTGTTTAGTAGAATTTAAAGTATTTATGTGGAGATTCATAATGGAAACCAATCTGACCTGTTTCTCAGTTGCATTTATTGCTTTAACAATTTGTTTGTTACTGAGCCCACAATGTAGTAGTAGTTGTTTTAATAATAATAATAATATAATGACCGAATACTTGCAAATTAACAGTAAGTTTGTAGTGTACTGAACCGGTAACACACACACACACACACACACACACACACACACACACACACAC